TCGATGCCTGGACCGAAGATGCTGAAGCCAATCCTCTCCCTCCTTCTCTGCGACTCGCTGTCTGGCGCGCCGCGGTCAAGAATGACGCGGCTCGCGCGGTGGAAATCCTCAAGAAGGAGTGGTTCACCACCAAGTCGATTGATGGAAAAATGCTCTGTCTCAGCGCACTATCGGCGCCCGAGGATGAGCAGATCTTGAAGGATCTCGTTGCCTTCAACTTCAACACAGGACCTCCCAACAATGCCAACAATGCGGCGGACATGCACGTCCTCGGCATGGGGCTGAGCGGCAACCCCGTCGGCCGCCAGGTGCAATGGGCGTTTATGAAGAACAACTGGGACGCGTGCGTGGCCAAGCTCGGCAACCCGATTGTAGTGGACCGCTTTGTGCGCGTCAGTCTAGGTGGCTTCACCGACGTTGCGGCCGTTGAGGACATTGAGCAGTTCTTCAAGGACAAGGACACCAAGAGCTTTGACCGGACGCTCGAGACGGTCAAGGACAAGATTCGTGGACGGGCTGCGTACAAGGTGCGCGATTCTGCTTTGCTGAAGGAGTGGCTGGGCGCGAATGGCTACCTATGAGTGAAGCCGGGACGACGTAGAAACGTAGAAATGTACTTGTATATGCACAGGATGTATTATAGCAGCTTACTCTACTAAGTGAGCTTACCATGTCATAACTTGTTCTTTTGCTCTTCCTTTCCGGTTCTCTTGATGACAACGGTCCATTTCCACAATCAAGTCATAACAAAGATGCCGAGCCAATATCAGATCAGGTCCGTCTGTAGCCAGGACCTGAGACACTCCTAAATATAAAGACTCTCCCCACTCGCCAACAAGTAATCAAACGCCTTGTGTCGAAAATCATCCCCCAACACATCATTCCCAAACCCCCACCTGAACCACATCAACTTCCTCGCCTCCTTCCACATCGGCCAGTGCGCAAACCCCCCCTCCCCTTGATTCGGATCCAGATTATGCACAAAATTCAAATAATACGTCCTGCAGCTCTTGGTAGCATAATTGGGAAGAAGTCCCATAAACACCTGCAGTATATCAGACGCATGGAAGGTCCCCAGGAAGGGCGTCCCGTAGTCATACGACGCCATGTACGACCATGTCGGGACAGACGGGTTCGCAGCAGCAGCATGCTGTAGTGTGATTCGTCTCGCCAACGTAAACGTGACATCTCCAAATAGAGCAGCGAGGCGCTTGAATCCGGGGTAGAGTTCGTTGAGGAGCCCGGTCCGGAAGGGGCTTCCCTGGAGGATTCCCGGTTCGTACAGCTGGACCAGGGTCTGGAGTTGGTCTTTGGAGGCGCCGTGGAAGTACTCTGTGGAGAGGTAGTTGACGACTTTGTCGGGGGAGGTGAGATCCGAGGTCAGGATTGCGAAGAGGGTGCCTTCGTCTTCTTGGGAGCCTATGATCATGGGCACGGGGTGGTATTTCCCGAGGCGGGCTAGGATGTCCGGGCTCTGGGTCAGGATCGTGCCGTCTGGGCGGGGGAGGTAGGAGAGCGCGAGGGAGGAGTGGGATATTATCCCGGGGAGGGAGTTGACGGCATCTAGGAAGGTGGTGTAGTCTGCGCGGCGGAGACAGGCGAGGGTGTCGCTTGTGCCGTGGCAGCCGGTTTTGTTGACGACGGTGTCGTAGACGAGTTGGCCTTTGGGGCAGTCGACTGGGCTGGCTGGTACGATGGAACCGGAATTCATAATGGCGCCTCGGAAGAGCGGGTGGCCTTTGTAGAGGGCGTTTCCGTCGTAGAGAGCCATTTGGTCGAAGACGGAGATGGCGCCGGCGGATTCGCCCCAGATGGTCACTTTGGAGGGGTCGCCTCCAAAGGCGGCGATGTTATCGGCGACCCATTCTAGGCCCATCCGTTGGTCGAGGAGGCCGATGTTTGCGCTGCCGTCTGCGAGGATTTCCTTGCCGGGGAGGAAGCCGAAGCCTGCGACGCGGTAGTTTACCGCCACGAAGATGAAGGGTTGTTTTTGGGACACGGCCGCGGCGAGGAGGCTGGTTGCGTCGTAGGTGTTTGTGCCGCCAAACTCGAAGCCCCCGCCAAAGATCCAGAACAGCACAGGGAGCTTGGCGTTGGGTTTGGTATGGGCTGGGCGTTGGACATTCACGGTGAGGCAGTCCTCCTGGCCGCCTAGGGACTGCAGGAGCGGGATCTTGAGTACGTCGTTGAACACGGCTCCGATTACACCTAGACTCCCGCGGGATATCAACATCTGTGGACATGCCGGCGCAATGCCTGTGCCATCGCGTTTGCCAAACGCGCCGGAGAACTTCTTGGGGGGCTTTAGACGGAGAGGCCCGATGGGGGGATCCGCGTAGGGGATTGCGTTGAAGCTCTCCACGTTGAGTATGGAACGGCCTGTAATGGTGCCCCCGGAAGGAAGATCGACGTCTACAGTTGCGAAGCGCTCTTCCAGAATAGCCTCGGGGGGTGTCTGGTCCGGAATGGGATTCACGGGGGGTGCTGGAGCAGGTGTGGCCAAGACAATGGCAGCACAGAGGCTCGTCACGGCGATCCAGAGCTTCATGGTGTGCTGACCGGTTCCTGGATCAGATCAGATCGGGAGCTGTGAGACGCGTATTCAACAGAGGATTGTTCGCCTCAACACCAGACGTGCAAAGGATTCCGGTGTTCAAGATGTCGGGTTTCGACAGCTGCGGCTGCCGCAGGATCCAAGTGCGAGGCAAAAGGTGAACAAGAGACGCCACCGCAGAATTTGCCGTGCAACACAAGACCGACAAGATGCCCATCATCAGACCATATGAGGGCATCGGGCGAGACTCATTGTATATAGCCATCTTTCTTCCCTTCCCCTTTACGAGGAAGCTGTTCATAGAGATATGCGTGCGCTTGCTAGGTATGCTCCGGGTCGGCCAGGCTCGCCCCCTCGACAAACGGACATGGCTTGCGGGAATACGCGGATGATGGCGGAAGTAGGTTTCTGGCATTGGTGATTGCGCCGGAATATAGAGATAGGTGGGCGGGTGGCGCTGGCCAGAAGCCATGGTTGGTGGTTCATCTGACAGCTCAGGTCATGCGTGTTGGAGGCGGGCAGCTGCCAAGCGCGGTCGTATGCAGAGGTGTCAGCTGGGAGCCAGTTTCTGCACCGTATATACATACATATATGTATGTATGCGTGTATGATGACATACCCACCTGGTTACCTAGGCAGGTACATCCCTTGTAGACCCATCTGCGCGAACCGAATCAGGATATGACCCCGGACCAGACCCTTCTGTTTGTTTCTGCATCCCTGCATTCTAGATCTCGCCGCATTCATCCCGGCTTGCTGACCTGTTTGTCCGATTTTTCACGATATGGCTCTGATTCTCGTCAGTGTATAGGACACAGCCAGCCACTTTCAAGTTCCAACTAACTTACCCTTCAGCAGCGCTACAAGCCTACAACCACGCTCGGCACCAGCTACGTTCAACTGACAGCACAAGACCATCAGATGACTTGCTCGCAATGCACATATCGCGGAGTTGATCTCTCAAATAGGCTGACCGTACGCTCGGGAGCACGCCTTGCAACCCTACCAAGACAGACAGTCATTCTGGAAGGGCAATATCCCCGGCTCCGAAAAATGTTTGTAACGCGTCACAGTGCAGAAGTCGTGGCGGACGGCACAATATACAATAAGCAAGCCTGCTGGCTTACACGACCTCGTGTAGGTAGGTTACAGGTACTACCTACACGTGCTCTTCATCTGTGCCTGTTGGTAGCGTCAGGTACCGCGGTATAAAAGTCAATATGAGAACAGGTGTCAATGCATGGAATACGGAACCAAAGGCTTATGCTGTGGTTGTTTGTATTCGTCTTATATTCATTGACTGATTGGTTTGTGTATATCTAAAAAGGAGAAAGGGCCGCTCGTGGCGTTGAGGCCACGAGCAGAGTCTTCCTGCTCTGGTGGGTGCGGCAGCCAATCAGCGTTTCAGGCTGTACACCCAATCACGTGACATGAGGAGCGATTCCAACAGTGCCCATCCCAACTTGTGCTGCGCCGATTCTCACAGGGCCAAAACGGTCACGAGGGTTCTCTGGCTATAGAATGGAGATGCGATTTCCAGGAAAACAAGAGGCATTGCTGGTTCATCGACAAGTTGATGCCAGGCCCACATCATCACATGTGCTTCGTGCCAACGAGACGGTTGCATTTTACGTAAGTCTCAATAGTAACACTATCTACATCATCACGCGGCATATACGCTTTATTAGGTCACCACTGACCAGTCTTTGGACATGTACATTGTCAACACCTATGTATGGCCTTGAGTGCATGCATCTGCGCAGCCTTTTCGTGAGCGTGGGCAAAGCGGGTGAGTTAAAGGCTAGTCTAGTCACCTCTGTCGAATCTCGCACATGCATGACTATCATAATCCTTTAAGTTGGGTTGGATTCCTTCTCCACATGAGCATAAGAATGCGCACCTCGATGAAGAATGTTGGGACTGAGTATCGATTTTGAAAAACAGCGCTGTACATGCCTAGTGTTGATATAGCGCCTTGTCATACATATGCATATTGCCACTAGTCAAGTTGCAAGTCCAATGGGCGGCATACCTAGGTTGCATAAACGGTGAACCTACCTATGGGTACGCTCCCTATGAACGAGGATGGCGGCTCACGGGTATTGCAAGACGCCAATCATGCACGCCGTTGTGGCTGAATCGACAACGCCACGATGTACCTTCTACTCCGTAGATGGCCCTCTGTAAGAGGATGTGAAGCTGCGATGGTTTGCGAAAGAACCGTGGACGGCTTCACGCCCTCGACCGCCGGGACAAGCCTGGTTCGATAATTTCAGGAATGGCCCATTCGAGCATTCATTCCCTGTGGATGCCTAATGTGTGAAGCATCATTCAGCCGCCTGTCCATACCTAGAATCTTCATCGTCTTCATGTGCTTATCGATGGCAATTTGTGCTGTGAAAAACTAGCTTTATCAGGTAATGCAGTAGACAATGTACACAACGCAGACACTTTGGCCGAGTGGTTAAGGCGATGCCCTGCTACTGGTTCCACCGTTAGATAGGCATTACATTCGTGTGCGCAGGTTCGAATCCTGCAGGTGTCGGGTTTCATTTTGATCCTCCTTGTACATCTTCTAATGCTGCTCCTTTTTTTTTCATATGAAAGCAAGTCACGGATCTAATCAAAATGAATCATACATGCATAGAATTGTATGGTCTTGAGGTGATTGTGAATTTGTGAGGGGACCCGTTTGCGAAGGAGATGGGGCTGTTGGAACGCTGCGGAACTTCATGTCATTCTGATATGGTCGACCGAGTATTCAAGCCAATCCTGCTTGGCGAGCTCTTGCCCCCCCCTTTCTGATCGGAGATTGGAACAAAGGCCGTGTAGCCAGGGATCATGTCACAGGCCAAGTCACCTTCATCAGGACTGAGAAGGTACGGCTCGACGAGGTGAATTCCAATTGGCAAACCGTCAAGTTTGATGAGTTGGAGTTCTCGTGTCAAGAAAAAATTGAAATGTGAGCGTGTCAAGGCTGTGACGCACCCCAGAATCAACGGTGGCGAACCCGTGCTCATGAAAATCGCGGCGTGGTCTCGGGAATTAGACTGGATGGAAACCGAGATTGCCGTTTACCAAAGGATATGCGACAAAGGCGTCGGTCCGAAATTTCTGGGCCATGTCACCGAGGGTACAGACGGGCGCATCATCGGCTTCATCACTGAGTGGCTGGGCGGCGCGAGGTCTGCGGGACCGAGGGATCTCGACGACGGTAAGAAGGCCCTGGCCCGGTTGCATCAGCTTGGTATCAGGCATGGGGATATCAACAAGCGGCTAGTTGAGTCGAATGGAATACAAGAAGCTGTTCTTTCTTTTCACAGAGACTTCGGGAACCTGCGGGTGTCGCCGTTGTCTGTGTGTCCAATTCATCCTGCTGGGATCTATATTGGCTTCATATCTTTGTTTCCTCAGTTTAGCTGGCGACGACTTCAGAACTTAGAACTTGGAAGGAATACACAATTCTTTCCTTGAGCAATTCTGGATCTCTGTCTCTGCCGTCGCTATCTCTTCGCTTTTTCTTCGCCGTTGCTTGGTACGAGATGAAGGCGCAGCATTGATGGGATTGTGAGTTTCGCTCGCCGAGCGCTTGCAATCAGCGAGCATGTCGATTGAATGTCAGTTGCCGCCCTGGTGGGAGGGGTAATCAGAGGTACCTCTGATGCAGGTCACAGGTGGGTGATGATTCGAATATCGATTCAGGCGCTACATAGGGCGAGCTGATTGGGCTCAAAGCCCGAGAGGTGAGGCATGATCAGAGACTTGCATACGGAGTCGAACGCGGGTATACCATCATTGTCGCGCGGCAAAGCAGGAGATACCGCTTTTCTATTAGATTGTGATATCTAGGAGAAGGGTATAAAGGTCGGAGGGACCAGAAATCCTCTCAGCACATGAAATACACTCTTCGACAGTCAGCACTTGATTGATTGGCATCGCTCGGTTTTGGCCCTGCATAAAGTTGAACTAAAGCCTCAAGTGACAAGCCGTCGTTCCTAACAAGTACGTTCAAAAACTGGTTTACGAAAAGCCTACAAATGCCATGGTCGCCACTAACTGGAACGTTTGGACCCAGATCATAGACCATGTGCATTCGTATCTGCCGCTCGTATACCTGCGGGTGCGAGAGTCCGGAAGAGTTCCAGCAATGCGTTGAGCGTCAGGGCACGAATTTTAGATGCGACGTCATAGTAACGCGGTTCATTTACTCCCGTTCAGAAAAGTGTGACACACATGGTGCGGGTGGGAAAGGATGAGATGCATCTCTGAGGATGTAGATGCGCTGTTTATTGACAGGATGGATCAGATCATCAAGATGTGACGGCGGCGGACGCAGGGGACGATTCCAGGCAGGGCGGAGAATCGAAGAAGGAGGCGCTTTGCTTGGGCGTAGATTTGAAGAATCTCACTCAGGAGATACATCGTGATCGAAACTAGAGGCTTTCTTGTCAGGAGAGGTGTTCTCTCATCATTTAGTTGAGAAGAGAAGGGGGGCTAGTTGAGTCAAATCGAATACAGAAGCTGTTCTTTCTTTTTCACAGAGACTTCAGGAGCCTGCGGGTGTCGCCGTTGTCTGTTTGTCCAGTTCATCCTGCTGGGATCTATCTTTTGTCTTCATGTCTTTGATTCCTCAGTTTATCTGGCGACGACGCCAGGAAGGATAAACCAATTTTTTCCTTGAGCAATCCTGGATCTCTGTCTCTGCCGTCTCTGCCGTCGCTATCTCTTCGCTTTTTCTTTAGCGTCGCTGCCGTCATTACGCGTCGAGAACCTTTCTATCGCAGGGTAATAGGTATAGGAGTTTACAAAGCACGCCTACTCTTTTGTGCAACACTTTCAGTCTCTTGGACCGTCACGCAACCGATACCCTGCACTCAATTTGTTGGGATAAACAGGGTGTGCTTCGTGGGACCAGGGACACATCTATCTTCTCACTCGCAACAGTCACTCGCCCACGATATTGGAAAGAGTATACATACTCCGCAAGTACGTGGCAATCCTTCTCTGTTAATTACTGTGAAAGTGTCTTACTCCGATGCCAGTCCCCATTGGTCACAGTGTCTGCGCGCTACCCATTCGAAATCCGGCTTCAATTCCCGCTCTGGTGTTTGCCAAGCTTGAGTGAGCGTGCGATGAGACAGGAAAAATCAGTTTGTCCAACGCAGGCACCGCACCAAACGCACAACGCGCGCCCCACGGATCCTGAGGATTCGACACGTTCATTCAGCTTATTACTTCGCCTGGAATCTCAGGAGACATGAGGACGCACAGTCGCACAGAGCCCCCTGCACTGCGGCCTAGACGGGCAATCACATCGCAGTTCAAGGACGGTGGCAGCGTGTTGCAAGCGAAGTAAGCAAGCCCAGTCTCGGATCCAGGCCGTCGGATACATCACCGATCACGGACAGGATTTGCCATAGAAAAGCCAGTAAGTCCGCCAACAGCAATGACTGAAGAACCAGACGTCTTGGGTCAGAGTCTCTTTCTTACAAACACAAAAGTCATACCCTGAATCGCATCTGTGAATCGCTGTTGTTGTTCATGCGAACTTACATTCCGTCATGGCTCTTTCTTCCAGACGCAGAGGGGGGGGGGGGGGGTCGAGGCTTGGATGTCATCACAGCCTCGTACGAGGGGAGCTGCATCTATGTAGCAGGACGAGCTAGGAAAATGAGCCAGAACCCGTTGGCTGGTCCGTTGCACCGCTTTTGGTGGTCTTGTCTTGTGTTTCTTTCCATCTGAATCAAAACGGCAGTCGATTATTGGCCGCAGGAGCATCTTGAACCAAGCACGGTACCACAGCGCAGTCGATATGGTCCAATTCAGTCGCACATTTTGACACCTGCTGTTCCTCGAATGAATCCCTCGATTGGAATTTTTGTCATTATTTGTCGGCCGTTTTTTTTTTTTTCAACGATGCGGCGCAAGGAGGGAAAGGATGGTCTTGTGTGTCCACAGCCGCTCGGTGCTCACGCGACACAGCATGATTGAAAGGGGCTTTCCTTCATTCCATCTCTCTCCCGGATTGTGCCGATATATGTAGCAGGCAGCACAGTCGTATATTCAGCAGTCTCCAGCCGTATATAGCTTGGGGACCGCTACCTTGTCTTCCTGGCTTGTTCATCGACGTTCAACAAGACTACTCTTGGCTGCCCGACCGAAATCGTCCCATCAAAACGAGCAAAGAAGATCCGTTCATCGTCTTGTCGACCACTTACGAGATGAAGGTCTCCGTGTTTCTTTCCTTTGCTACCGCTGCAGTTGCCGGAATTCTCGATGCTCGTAAGGGCCATTGCGGTGGTGATAATTGCGCTCGCCAGGTTACCGGGACCCGTAAGGGCCTCGGGCCGCTGTCTTCCCGCAAGGCAGACTGCTCCAGCTTCATGAGGACCGTAGTTGCACCCGAAGCTACGTATGTTTCCAACTCTCTCGTGGTGTCGTAGGCAAACGTCCTGCTTTCCAGAACAGGACATGTATCAAATCTGGAGCTTTTTCCGCTGACATCGGCTAGAACCATTACCGTCACCGTCACTGTTGACCCCGAGGAGCCTGTCTCCTTGACAAGGCCCGCCATCGACTACCGTGCTCTCACTGAGACTCCCACTGAAGCTTCCAGTGTACCAACCTATGCGTCTTCTTGCAAGAATGCTCATAAGTACTCTTCTGCCTGCTCTTGCTGGGGTATCACCCCCGCGATCACCGTTGGCCCTGTTCCTACCGAGACACGTACCGTCACCGTCACTCTCGACTACTGCGATGGTAACGGGGATGAGGATGAGGAATAAGTCGCGTCAGGATGCACACGAGGGGCCATTTCATTCTGAGTGTATTGCTTTGGCGCCAAGAGGGCCGGATGTCGCTAAGTGTCGCCGAGTTGTCTTGAGTCGGATTATTCAGGAGCTTTTGTATCGATATGATCTGTAACATTAATGGACTTATGAGGCGGATATGAGGAAAGTGACGGATCAATCGCATCTGATCTAGCACCGCTATCTCGGCTCAGTAGCACTGTATCACATACATACAGACAAGACGGACAGACGGACGGACAGACAGACAAAAAAAGTACAATGAAGAGAGCGTTTGGGCCACTGAACCCAAATAATGAGTTCCCCAATTTCATCTTTGATCGCGTTACGATTTTAATGTGTCACTAAGCCGGCGCTTTGATGAATTGCCTTGTCTCGTGGCTTTTCTTCCATCTGGGTTCTCAACGGCGCGAGCGTTATACATTGTAAAAAATGCCAAGCGCCGTCAAAAAATCTGTCAACTGTGTCGAGTCTGAGACAAGGGGTACGGCCCAATCTTAGGGGTACCTGTCTTGGGGTGTGATGGAGCTGTGTTTCGAGTGCGAGGGAGAATGCCATGTTTGGATTGACTGCGCGTATGAGTCCGCGTAACCGACAATAGATTGGCGAGAACATCGGGTGATAGAACGCTTTGCCGCCGAGAAATTGCCCATCATAAGGGGCGTGGAAAGTCAACCGTATCGTACACGGCGTCAGCTTCGTTTGACCAAGCAAAAGCGACTCGACTCCCCCCCTC